CGAATAGCGCTGTCCATGAAACAGGCCACCACAGGCAAACTGGCCTGTGAGGCTTCAGGAGTTCACTCATGCTGCACATCTGGAAGGGTTCCGCTTGACCTGACTGCAGTTGTCTTGAGTCTTTTTTTTTAATATGGTTTTTATTGTAAAAATAGTGTAGAGAGGGATTACAGTTACATGAGTAAGCTAATGAGTCCATTTCCTATCGAGTGTTGTTACCTCCTCCTTTGTTTATCCCCTACCATCCCTTCCTTTCCCACCTCTGTAACTCCCCGCCCCCCCACGCCAGTTGTAAAGTTCGTTTTCAACATAGTGTCTTGTACATCTTATTGTTACAATGGGTCAATCTGTATCCTTATTTCAGCTTTTTGTTATTTCCCTTCCCCTCCCCAAGATGCAGGGCACTGACATCAATTACAGTGAAAACAGGGGTTATACCAGGGGGAAGAACATACCAAAGAAAAAAAAATCACATAGTACATTTTAAATATGTTAAAAACAATAGCAAGAAAGAAAAAAACAGTTGTGTCCCTATCTTTGGGCTCATTTCACTTAACATCATCTTATATGGTCATATGTACGTAGCTTTTGACCTTTTCTGCTTATCCTAGACTTATACTAGTTATTGTAAATAAGGAAACCATGGGACCTATGTTTCTTTGGGTCTGGCTCACTTCACTTAATATAATTTTTTCCAAGTCTTTCCATTTCCTAACAAATGGGGCTGTGTCATTCTTTCTGTTGGAGGCATAGAATTCCATTGTGTGTGTGTGTGTGTGTGTGTGTGTGTATAAATATTATATACACAGGCATCTGGGTTGGTTCCATATCTTAGCTATGGTAAATAATGCTGTGTCTTAAGTCTTAACCACCATGATTGCCCCTGATATACTCTTGACAAGACCATTAGCATGGCTTTATAATGGAACCAGGTGCCAATAGTACCTCCTGTGCTCAACAACTTTAATGATAGTTTGAGATAAAACAGACATGTTCCACTCAGATGAAGTCATGTTTGTTCTAACCATAAGCTCCCTCCTCCTAGTCCCAATGACAGGGATCCACTGTCTTGCAGTCCTGGGACCACAGTTCTGTTTCCAACCAAGTGCACTCCTCAATCTTGGACCTGTCCATCTCTTTCCTTGTTGCTTCCCTCAATAGGACCAGGTTTTCCCAGGACTAATCTCAGCAGTCCAGCTTTGGCAATTCAGGATGAAAAACTGTCAGAGCATTTCCCTGCTATCCATTCAATTCCTGTTATGACTAGTTTCTCCAATAGAATTTTTAAATTATTAACCCAATTATATAATCTCAGAGAGACTAAAACCTGTACTTGTCAGAGTTCTTTCCAGAGTCTCCTAGAAGATTAAACACTGCAGGCCTAAGTGAACAATTAACCAGCTGTGAAAGGAGAGCTCATTATGCTGACATAAATGACAAAGAAATGCAGTCACCTCTGCTGTATATACCTTAAGATAGCCAGCAGAGCGGAGAGTAGTGGCCCACACCTTAATCTTTACTACTGCAGAGGCTGAAATCAGAAGGATCACAATTTGAGACTAGCAAAAAATCATCTTAGTAAATAAAAAAGATGAGCAGGCTGATACACACACCTGTTATTCCAGCAACACAAGAAGCATAAATTGGAAGACTAAGGTCCAGAATAGGCTGGGCATAAAATTGAGACCCTATTTTAAAAAAACAATGCAAGTAAAACAGGTGGAGGGTAGGGCTCAAGTGGTAGCATATATTCCTAGCAAACTAAGGCCCTGAACTCCAGCCCTGAGGGGAGAGAAAAAGAGAGAGGAAAAAGGAAGAAGAGGAGGTTAACAATGAAGACAAAGAGGAGAACGAGGAGGGGGAAGGAGGGAGGACTGGAATTATGACTGATAGTATTATATCAGGAGCATGAGATTGCTATGGTCTCATGTGGTGCCTCCTATGGCGTAGAGGTGGGAGAGAAAGTGCCCAGGAGTTCTGTGGAGGAACAAGGGGGTGGGCAGAGCCAGCAGCAGGGAAAGAGTAGCCCTGACTAACGGAACCGAAAGGAGTTTGAAGTGATTTGAGGCCCCACCTTTAGCACCACTTTCATTGTATCTGTATTAGCTCCTCTCCCCTCCCTAACCAGCCCTTTAGACCTGGCAGTGACCCATATGTGAGTGATTTGCAGCCAGATTCCATAGCACCCTTGTTTCATGAAGTCTGCTTCCTCTCAACCCGAGTTTGCCATGGCCCCTCATTCCCATCCCTCAGTCCAGGGTTTCAGCTGCAGCTTCTCTTCCAATTTCCCAATTACAATTCCTGATTCATTTGTCTTGAACTTGCCACAATCATTAGCCTATGGATTGGCTCCCTTTGACTCATTTACTCTCCCTTCCCAATTGGGACTTTCTAGAAAACAAGTTGAGACTCATGGTTCCTTAGTACTATGTCTCAGTAGGGCTCTGTGGTCCCCCGTCTCCTCCTAGGTTGCTGACCAGTCAGTCCAATACTTTTGGGGTGATCTAATTAGGATGAGGGGCATCAGGAGAACTCAAGGGAAGGGCTGTGGACTGGGCCCTTCACTCAGACTGACTGGTTCAGTCAGGAGCACCTACTTTAAGACACTACATTTTACACTGGACAACTGTGCTGTTTTCAAAAGGACACTCAAGGCCCAGAGCTAGTGGCTCACACTTGTAATCCTAGCTATGCAGGAGGCTAAGGTCTGAGGATTGAGGTTCAAAGCCAGCCCAAGAAGGAAAATCCGTAAGACTCTTATCCTCAATTAACGACCAGAAAACCAAAAATGGCACTGTGGTTCAAAGTGACACAGTGCTAGCATTGGGCAAAAAAACTCAGGGACAGTGCCCAGGCCCCAAGTTCAAGCCCCAGGACCAACGTATTAGGGCTGGTACACACACAAAAAAAAAATGGTGAGCTTTCTCTGGAACTTCAAAGGAGTTTCTGCCCTTCTTAGTGGCTTGACATTAAGACATAAAAGAAATCCAAAGTTATTGGTAGTTGTCACCAATATAGAGTTGTGTTAGCTTTTCAGGTCACTGTAACAGGACACCTGATGAAACAATTTAAGAGAGGAGCTATTTTGGCTCCAGGGTCTCAGAGGTTCTGTCCATGGTTGCTTGGCTCCATGCACTTGGGAAGAACATCATGGTAGTGGAAGCATGTGCAGGGGGGAGTTGATCCCCTCCTAACAAGACAGGAAGCAGAGTTAGACATACAGGAAGACAGAGCCCTAAGGGCACTTCCTTAGTGACCTATTTCCTCCAACGAGGCTCCATCTTCTACTTTCCACCACCTCCCAAGAATAACATAATATTAGGACTCCATCAAGAGCTCAATCCATTGATTACATCAGAGCCTTCAGTATCCAATACTTCCCAAAAGCCCCTCAGTGGAGACAAGCCCCAACACATTTCATGATCAAATCTAATAATGGTGGACACCAACCCAGAAAGAACCAGTAAAGCTGATGTAGAGAGAGGAGTGTGGCCTGGTGAATGGGCGCTTCCAACACCCAACCATGCTCCTACCCTAGCTCAAGTCTGGTTCTTCAGTCACTCTGTCAGTATTTGAGATGCTCCAGTGTCCTTGCAGTAATTCACAAAGATATGCTTTATCTTTTGCTGCATAAAAATTTAACTCAAAACATAATGACCTAAAATAACAAACATCTGCATCTTCTAGTTAAGTTGGTTAATAGCTGGGGGATAGTAAACTGAGTAGTCCTGGCAAAGATCATTCACATGCTTCTTGTTTCGGCAAGGGAGGCTGAAAAGAACACATGTTCTCAGCCTCTATTCTAGGAGGCAGGCTTTGTCTCCTACCAAGATGGGGGACCTCCATCCCCAGGTTCAAGCACCCCCTCCCCAATCCTCAGTTTTGTTCCACAGTGTGAGAAAATGAGGTACTCAGGTTATTCTTGGAGAAGTTTGGGAGGGAAAAGAAACAGTGATAAACTATACTATAGCCAAAGCAAAGGAGCTTTCTTGCTTTTAAGATTAAGTGGCTTGTGGGGTACCAGTTGCTCATGCCTGTAATCTTAGCTACTCAGGAGGCTGAGATCTGAGGATTGTGGTTTAAAGCCAGCCCCATCAGCAAAGTCCATGAAATTCTTTTTTTTTTTTTAGGGGGGGGGGTCCGGGCGTGGGGCCTAAACTCTGGGCCTGGGTGCTGTCCCTCAACTGTTCAGCTCAAGGCTAGCACTCTACCACTTGAGCCATAGCACCACTTCTGGCTTTTTTTTTTTTTTGCTTTTGTGGTGCTGAGGAATCGAACCCAGGGCCCCATGCATGCAAGGCAAGCGCTCTACCACTGAGCTACCTTCCTAGCCCCCATGAAATTCTTATCTCCAATTAACCACCAGAAAACCGGAAGTGGTGCTGTGGCTCAAGTGGTAGAGCGCTAGCCTTGAGCTGAAGAGCTGAGGGACAGCGCCCAGGCCCAGAGTTCAGGCCCCACAACCAACAACAACAACAACAAAAGATTAAGTGGCTTAGCAGGGCACCAGTAGCTCATGCCTATATTCCTTGATCTAAGGATCAAGGTTCAAAGCCAGCTTAGGCAGAAGTCTGTGAAACTCTTTATCTCCAATTAATCAGCAAAAAGTTGAAAGCAGAGCTGTGGTTTAAGTGGTAGAGCACTCGTCTTGAGCGATAAAGCTAAGAGAGAGTGCCCAAGCCCTAAGTTCAAGCCCCAGCACCAGCACAAAAAATAAAATAAAAAGGGCAAGATTAAGGGGCCTGAGTAGTTTCACAGGAAGAAAGAAACAAAAACTTCTTCATAAAACAAAAGTCTGGCCATCCTACTGTCTCCAGGTGGAAGACAAGACCTATCCAGAGAAGAGAGCACTACAGACCAAAGGTTTCTAAAGTAGGGAACTGGAAGCATTACTCACAACCCTTTCACAGTGTTAAAGTGGCTGTAGTCTTTAATTAACATCTAAATAGATAATGTTTCTTTTCTATAATTATAATACAGAAGTGTCTATAAACAAATACAGATCATTTGTTTTGGCAAATGCCTCAGAAAGAACGCTGTCAGTGCGGCGCGGCCGGGGCTCCAGGCAGCAGCATCTACGCAGGCAGGGCGTGGTCAGCATTTGGGGATGGAGGTAAATATCCGCAGGCCATGCATCCCTTTGATTTCTTCTTTTAATGCCTGAATAAGAAAACGTCATAATTTTTTATGTGTGTATTTGACATTGATTACAGAGTATTTTATGTAGTATCAGAAGGGGAATACATATGCTTTAAGTAAATTTCTCTTTATAATTTTTTTTTATCATTTAAAATCAGTAATATCTGAGCTAGAGTCAGGTATAGTGGCTCACACGCCCACAGTCAGAAGGCTTAGATCAGGCCAACTAGGGCCAAAAGTACTTGACACTTCATCCCAATCAATAAAAAGCTGAGTATGGTGGTGCACATCTGTCATCCCAGCCATGTAGAAGGCTCCAGTTCCAGGCCAGCCTAGGCATAAATGTAAGATCCTATGTGAAAAGTAACTAAAGCAAAAAGGGCCAGAGGCATGGCTCAAGTAGCAGAGTGCCAAACAAGACCCTGAATTCAAAGCCTTAGCACATCCACACACACAACAAAAAAAACACAAAACAAAAACCACAAAACACCACACAAACAAAACCCTAAGGTGGGCACAGTGCACATGTCTTGTATGTTCTAGCTATTCAGGAGGCTGAGGGAAGACAACATAGTAATACTGTCTCAAAAGAAGAAAAAAAAAGAAATACCTAGTAAGTCTTAAAAATCAGAAAGTATACAGTCACACTGTGAAACACCCCCCCACACACACCTGTGTCCTCCAAATCCCAGTTCCCACTCCATCCCCAGAGAGACTGTTTGTTTTTTGTGATCTGCAGGGATTTAAAAATACATAATCAAGCTATTATGAACATATATTCCACTCTAGTACCTTAAAATAACACAAATGATTAACACATTTTAAACATAGTTCTACATCTAGCTTTTTTGCTATCTATTTTGGAGATCCATATTAAGCCTCAAAGATATTCTCTTCTCTGTACCAGCATGTCCATGAAATGGATGCACTGGAACTTTTCAACCTATCTCCTAGTGAATTTGAGTTTCCTAGTTTGCTATTTCAAACAATGAGCAACTTTTCTATAAAATCATTTCAATCAATACAAATTCCTCAACTGTAGAGCAGGAAGTAAAGTCATAAAGGAATTATGGACTTGTTTGGGGTTCCAGCATGTGGTCCTAACTCTGAACAAACTTCTACAGAGATTTTAAACTCTTGTAGTGAGAAAGGACATAGCACTGGAGGGGCCTGGGCCTCTCAAGTGCAGTCAGTGCAGAGGAGACAAAATCTTACCCTAAACAAAAAGCTGAGAAGCATAGTGGGAGTGGGTATTTTCCAGTCTTCTCAGGTATCTCCCTTCTCTTGGGAATGGTTCCTTTTCTAGTTTAACTGTACCCTCTGAGGTGGCCTTACATGCCACTGAACTAACCTATGAGGCTCAAGGATGACATGCAACCCGGACTGAACCAATCAGAATATAACTTGTGATTTTTTTAGATGGAACCCTGTCTCTTGGGTCACTAGGCTGAAATAATGTCAACTGGAAATGGCTATGGCTTTGCTCCCCACCAAGGAGAGCGAGCCTACCCCATCTGGAGATGAGGCCAGCACATCGGAGAAGCTGAAAACTCAAGAGTGAGAACATGAGAAAGCAATATATATGCTAATTAACTCCTTTTGTTTTTTTTATGCTACTTGGTTTCTCACAACATAAATAACCTTAATATATGTGGTCAGGGCTATAGACACAGAAGTATCATTAGAAACAGTGTCATTTTCCCTTTATTTTCCCCTTATTTAAAATTTAAAAAAGACACTTCTGTTAGTCCAAAATCATCAAGCAAACAGGTAACAGAGTCAGGATACCACCCCTGGCCCTGGGTCATATCCAGTTTCTAGCATGTTCCTGACTGGTCCTGCTGCTTTTGAGCGAGGAATCTATGACTTGCCCCCCCAACCCCTCCCCACATACACCAAGTCTTGATATTCAAGGAAGACTCTCAAATCTGCAGATAAGCTCAAATGTCTTTGGAAAAAGCCTCACAATTACTTGGTGAAGAGTTACTTGCTCAGAGCGCTCATCAGAAGCTGCCCTGTGTCTGCACCTGGCTACAGCCAGCTTCTCATTCTTTACAACCTCCTGACTAATGAGGGCAGTCATGCAGTCAGCTCACGGGCTTGGACTAAGGAATCTCCAGGGCTCCGCCACCATAGACCTTGCATACTACTTCCCAATACCTCTATCCTGCTTTCTATGTAGGAACCCCCAAAGCCTCCCCATTTCTGAGATCACTTGGGTCACTTTACAATTGAGGAAACTGAGGTCCTGGTTGGAGAAAGATACTTGGCAAAGGTACCATGGCTAAGCAGACACAGCTTGAGTAAATGTGTGCTCTCAGTGCTACAGCAAGGGACAACCATGAAGCAGGTAAGGGAAGTAACAGAGCCCACAAAAATGGGCACAAAGCTGGCAGTGATGGTGCTGTGAGCCACTCAGTACAGTTCATCTTCCACTGGAAGAATGCCACATCAAAGATGACAAATCCCAAGCCAGGATTCGACTCTGGGCAACTGGAAAACCCACTGAAGGGCTCTGATGGGGAGAGACGTGGGTAGCAATGTCCTTGGGGGGGGGGGGTGAAGAGGCAACAAACAGTAAAGCTGGAGGGTGAGGGGGATGATGGCTATTGACCACTGTCTTCCATGTATGTGCCTTTCCAAAGAACCAGCCGTACTGCTGGACAGGGAAGGGGGTGTGCTATCTTAGGCAATGCTGAGACAGGAAAGTATACCCCACCTCTGCCCAACTCCTGAGCTAACACACCACTCCTGCCACACCCAAGCGCAGGATGGGATGGGGAGATGCTCCTGGCAGGAAGTCCTCTTCGTCCCACCTCCCTGGGGTCTAGCTCCAAGCAAACGTTCACTGAGTATTTCCAAAGAACAGGGAGGAACTGTGGGAGGCCAAGCCTATAGTCAGCAGATCCCAGAAAAACAAGAGCCGCTCCTGGTGAAGAGCAGGTATGAGCTGTGCCGGCAGAGGCTCTCCCTCCATGGGGCTGTTTGATGAGATGCTAGAGAGGAGATTCCGGTGTCAGATGGGCCCAGAGCCCTTTCCAGAGCCCTTTGGGTCAAGAGCCTGTGGCACCAGGCTGAGCATTACTAAGCTGAGGTTGTCCAGACAAAGACAATAAGAAGAGCTCCAGGTCTGGCATGCCCACCAATCCCCACTCTGTCAGTCAGTATCCCATGCACTGGATGAGGCTCCTACTCCACTGTCACCCCATTCCTGAAGACAGCTCTATTCAGCAGCTCCAGGCAGTGAGCTGGTGGCAGTTACTCCAGGCCTGCCTTTTTTTAGGCGCCTATCAGAACTTTGATTCCCAGCACCTATCCTAAGCACAGTCAGTTCCTGGTCCTAGCTCAGACCCTACAGGCCAACAGACCTGCTCCTAAAGAGGTTTTATCTCTGTTTCTCTCCTGTGACTCTATCAAAGCCAACACCCCCAAATCTCATCATCTGAAAATGCCTATGACCATGTTCAAATATATAGACACAGATGCCAGTGCCCCAATAATGAGCTGTAGCTACTGGGGTCTCCAGGAGCTCCCTCCGCTCACACCCACTGCTGCTTCCTGAGTCAGGCAGTGGTAGCTGGGAGGGCCCCTGGAGTGACCTCTGGAGTAAGGCAGGCTGTAGCTTACTTTTGCCTCAGGTTAAAAGCGGGAAGTGAATTCTCCATAGGGAAATACCTTTCAGGTACTAAACATTTAATTCTCTTTAAGTCAACCAGCAAATACAGGCCAGCAATCCCTACAGTCTGAAAACTCACAGCAAGTGCTGACCAAACACCTTCCACATGCCAGGGCTCTTGTGAGGGGTCAGATTCAGCCCGAGCCAGCATGGAGTCTGCTCTCTACAGATGACAAACAAGTGACAGGGTCATCTATTCTGAACAGTGGAGGGCAAGTGCCACAGAGGCCCAGAGGACAGTTTCAGCTCAAGATGATGCAGATGATGCTTCCCCAAACTAAAAGAATGTCTGCCCTCCTGGCTGCTGAGTAGACCACAATGATGGTGATGGTGGCTAGCACTGATGTGAGGGCATACTATGTGTCAGGCACTGTTCTCCAAGTTCCTTACCACTGGATCTTCCAACAACCCCTTGAGGCAAGAACTGTTCCCCTGTGTGAGATTAGGGAACTGAAGTACAGGGAGGTATCTCTGCTAGAAAGTAGCAGAGCCTAGATTTGGACTGTGTTCATCAACTCCAGAACCTGCATCTTGGAACTGTGATTTCAGGCCAAAGGATGCACACTAATTAATATCATCTAGAAATCCAGTTCTGTTGGGCAGCCTCTATAAATTGAAAACAAAACCCAAGGCTCATGGTTGAAGATTTGCTGGGCCAGCTAGGCCTCCCTGCCCTCTCCTACCTAGACTCCAACTCCTGAGATCACATAGAATTGCATCTGGTTCTGTCCTGCCCTAGCCTGTCTGACAGATCATCAGTTTGCTTTAGAGTTGCAGGTGCCATGTCCAAGGCGAAGGGATAGGTATCATGAGAAATGCAAAGGTGGGCCTTTAAGGGAATCAGCCCACAAAGGCTGACAGGCTGAAAGGGACAGACGGAGCGGATAAGGAGCTTCATGCTCTGCCACAAGGGCAGAACAGCATTGGAGCTGGAGGTGGGGCAACCTAGGGGGGAGAACCCACCTGGGTTAACAACTAGACGCACAAAGAGAGAGCAGGCAGCAGCTGATTGGGATTGTGCATGCACGGGTGGGGAGTGCTTAAACAACAGCATAGAACACTTGAACTCAATAAACGAGGGGTCACTGAGACCCTCACTGCTACAGCTGTACAAATGTACCAATGTAGAAGACTTTTCAGAATAATGTCAAATATATCAAGTATATTCACTGCCAAAGGCAGTGAATTTACACACACACACAGTCAAAACTGATATAAAACCCAACTAAGCTACACATGGAGAATATATGAACTTTGTCTGATGAAACATGGCATTTCAGATCCCAAATGTTCTGTCACAGGGTTGGAGCAGCTATAGTGATTTTCAGCCATGCTGTGTATTACTTAATTTATCTGTAAGCAGATTCAAAAAAAAAAAAAAACGAAGCTAAAAGAAAATCACCAAATACAAAAACATAGCTTTTAACATGCTAGCAACTGTTATTTAATATATGACAACAGAAAGCATTGGATGGGGCATCTTGGCATATGCCTATAATCCCAACTCTAAGGCGTTTGAGGTAGGAAGATTGAAGAGTTCAGGCGTATCCTACCCCCCAACCCCTCCCCCAAAAAAAGAAATGTAGCCAATCAATGTGATACAAGCCTGTAATCCTAGCTACTCAGGAGACTGAGATCTGAGGATTTAGGCCAGGCTCAAAGTCAACCTGGGCAGGAAAGTCCATGAGACTGATCTGCAATTAACCACCCAAAAAACGGAGTGCAGCTATGGCTCAAATGGTAGAGTACGAGCATTGAGTGAAAAAGTTCAGGGACAATGCCCAGCCGCCCCCCCCACCCCCCACCACCACACACAAAGTAAACATTGGTAGCATTATACAAGTAATTACAAAGTAACTACTGGGTGGGTGGCTTATTTGCAATTTTGAGTAAAATCTACATTTGCCCACAACCTGATTCCAGAGTCCCAGATTATATTTTTCTCAGGTCTCAGATTGTGGTACTGCATTATTCTTTCCTGGGACTGATGGTAGAAACCCCAGCCCACTCAGCCCTTTGTGCTGAAGACCAGAGGCCAAGGCGTGTTGCTCCTTCACTGACCTGATTAACCATCTGGTGCTGCTGGACAGTCCTCTTCTCCTTAAATTCTTCAGATTCGATCTTAATTTCATACATGGCTCCACAGCCTCCTAAAACAAACAGGAGTGAAAGGCTTTTCAATGATTACGCATGGTAGCCACAGTTCAATGTATCCTTTTAAGTACTATACAAACCAAAGGGTCTTAATATTCTTGTTCAGCATAAACAATAGCACCAGTGGCTTATGCCTGTAATCCTAGCTACTCAGCAGACTAAGAACTGAGGAATGCAGTTCAAACCCAGCCGGGACAGTAAAGTCTGTAAGACTCCTCTCTCCATTCAACAGCAAAAAGCCAGAAGTGGAACTGTGGCTCAAATAGTAGAGCATTAACCTTGAATGTAAAAGCTATGAGGTAGCATCTAGGCCCCAAATTCAAGCCCCCACATTGGCACTAGGAAAAGAAAAACAGGGCTGGGAATATGGCTTAGTGGTAGAGTGCTTGCCTAGCATGCATAAAGCCCTGGGTTTGATTCCTCAATATCACATGAACAGAAAAAGCTAGAAGTGGCACTGTGGCTTATATGATAGAGTGCTAGCCTTGAGCACAGAGAGGCTCAGGGACAGTGTTCAGGCCTAAATTCAAGTTCCAGGACTGGCAAAAAAGAAAAAAAAAAGAAAGAAAAACAAGAGAAAAAGAAAGGAAAAAAGAAGAAAAGCTTCAAAGATGTGGAAAAAAGGATCCCAGATTCCAATATGACCACTGTGCGCTTCTTTGAAAAGTCAATGTGCTGCTCAGGATCATTACATGTGGGCAGGAAGGAAGGAACAAAGCATAGAAAATGTGTGGATGGGGTGTAGAGCAGGTCATTTTAGTGAGCAAAAAAAAAGCCATGTTCAGCCAGGCGCTGGTGGCTCACGCCTGTAATTCTAGCTATTCAGGAGGCTGAGATCTGAGGATCATGGTTCAAAGCCAGCCCGGGCAGGAAAGTCTGTGAGACTCTTATTTCCAATAAACCACTGGAAAACCGGAAGTGGCGCTGTGGCTCAAGTGATAGAGCGTTCACCTTGAGCTGAAGAGTTAAGGGACAGCACCCAAGCCCAGAGTTCAAGCCCCACGACCGACAAAAAAACAAGAAAAAAAAAGCCATGTCCAGAATAGAGTGAGAGGACTGAATTGCAGTGTTTCATCTCCCAAAGGCCCTGCAATCAGTTTTTGTTGGGTTTTTTTTGGTCAGTTGTGGGCCTTGAACTCTGGGCCTGGCCACTGTCCCTCAGCTCTTCAGCTCAAGGCGAGTGCTCTACCACTTGAGCTTCAGCGCCACTTCCTCAGATTTTTTGTTTTTTGGGGGGATCCAGTTATGAGGCCTGAACTCTGGGCCTGGGCACTGTCCCTCAGCTCTTCAGCTCAAGGCTAGCACTCTACCACTTGAGCCACAACACCACTTCCAGCTTTT